TATTAGCTGATCACTAATCTAACTGAGCAAAGACTCCTGTGGACAAACACATTACAACTAAAGAATTAAAGAATTTGTTCAGAGACGTTAACAAGCAACGAACAACTACAATAAGTAGCAACAACAACAAACCCCGGGGAGGGGGAAAAATCTAATTTCCAGAGTTGTCACATTATAGCATTCAAAATATCCAGTTTTCAATAAAAGGTTACAAGACATGCAAAGAAACAAGAAAGTACGCACCATACAAGGGAAAAAGCAATCAACTGAAATGGTCCCTTAGGAAGCCCAGACATCGGACTTTCTAGACAAAGACTTGAAATCCACTATTATAAATACATTCAAAGAACGCAAGAAAAACATACTTAACTAACGGCAAGTATGGGAACAACAGCTCATCAAATAGAGAATAACAATAAATAAATAGAAATTACAAAAGGAAAAAGTAATATCATATCCTCACAGACTCTTCCAGAAAACTGAAGAGGAGAGAATTCTTCTTAAGAATGGCATTCCATGAAGCCAGCTTACTCTGATAGCAAAACCAGACTAAGACAGTACAAGAAAATAAAACTACAGACCCATATTTCTCTTGAACAAAATACAAACAACTCTAAATAAAATTTTAGCAAATCACGTCCACCAATTTATAAAAAGGATAACACGCCATGACAAAGTGGGGTTTATTCAAAGAATGAAAAGTTGGTTTAACATTTGAAAACCAATGTAATTTACCATATTAGCACATTTAAAAAGAAAAATCATATGATTATCTTAGTAGGTGCAGAACAAGCATTTGACAAAAATCCAACATCCATTCCTGATACAAACTCTCAGCAAACTAGGAAATGAAGGAATAAAGGGCATTTATTAAAAAACCTATGATGATGTACTTAGTGGTGAAAGACTGAATGCTTTCCTACTCACTTCCCTTCAGGACAAAAGAAGATAAGAATATATACTCTCATCACTTCTATTCAACATTGTACTGGAGGTTCTAGCCAGTGCAGTAAGGAGGGAGGGAGGAAAGGCATCCAGATTGGAAAAGAAGAAGCTAAACTGGCTTTTATATGTATGACTGTCTATATAGAAAACCTGGTGAAGTCTACCAAAAAGTTATTAAAACTAACAAGATAGTTTAGTAAGGTAGCATGATACAAGATCAACATACAACAATCAGTAGTATTCCCATAAATTAGCAACAAACAATTGCAAATTGAAATTGAAAAATAGTACCATTTACCAATGAGATATACAGGAATAAATCAGCCAAGTATGTGCAGGACTTATACGCTGAAAACTAACAATCAGTGTTGAGAGAAATTGAAGAAGGCCTAAATAAATGGAGAAATATTTCATGTTAATGAGGCAGATGACTGAATATTGTCGACATGTCAGTTCTCCCCAAACTTATCTTTGGATTCAAGGCAATACAAGTTGGGATTCCAGAAGCCTATGTTGTGGAAACTGAAAAACTTATTCTAAATTGATGAGGACATACAAAGGACCCTGAATAGTTAAACCGACTTTAAAAAAGGACAAGACTGGAGGACCAATAATACCTGATTCCAAGACATATTATAAAACTACAGTAATCAAGACCGTGTGTTACTGGTGTAAAGACAGAAGTAGATCAATGGATAAGAATATGTCCAGAAACAGACCTACCCTTATAATGACAACTGATTTTCAATGAAGGTGTAAAGACCATTCAGTTGAGACATGGCTATTTTTTCAACAAATGATGCTAGAACAACTGGATATCCAAATGCAAACAAAACAAAACAGAATCCTCTGATCCAAACCTCACATCATATACAAAAATGAACACAAAACAGATCATAGACTTAAATATGAAACCAATTTGAATTATAAAACTTTTACAAGAAAACATAGGAGAAAACCTTTGTAACTTTGGCAAAGGTTTCTTAGATACTATACTAAAGCATGACATATAAAAGAAAAAAATTGACAAATTGGACTTCATCAAAATAAAAAAAAGTTTGCTTTTCAAAAGCTACTGTTAAAAGAATGAAAAGGCGTAACAGAGACCGGGAGAAAATATCGGCAAATCATGTATCTGATAAAGAACATATTTAGAATATATAAGGAACTCTGTGATGTCACACTCCTGACAATGGATAATTCTGATTTCAGAAAGGGCGGGGAATGGGAGGAGGAGAAAAAGGCTGAAAAGTGAATAATCAAAAGAAGAAATTTTAAAAAAAAGTTGCAAGTAGTAGGGTATTTTAGGGGAAAAAGGTAAACTAATTTCTTCTCATGAAAAGAAGAAGAAATTGAAGAAGTCTGGAATAGGATTATTATAAAGATGGAAAAATATATAGTGGAGGAGAGATCGGATACTTGGAGTTAACACTTATGGCTGCACTACATTAAGAAGAGATTGCATTCATTCATTCATTCAGTTCACATATGAGTGTTCACAAATAAAGGCCTTTAATATTATTGACCATCTGAACTAACTTCTCTCTGACCAAACCTGTTAATGAAATAAAACATTCTATGTTTAAAAAAAAAAACCCAACAAACTCAAGATAAAATATATTAGTAACTAGGGAACACTAATACTAATACTAATGGATTATAACATATTTGTGGAAGCTTCGTTACAAACTCTGACTTGGGCAGCAGATCATAACATCATAGGGGCATGAGATATAAAAGGTAAAAGTTTAAGACTTTCAAGAAAATGCCTTTAAATTAACCTATAGAAGTTTCTTCTTGGTATCTTTTTAAGATAAGAGAGTGTAGCTTTATTAAAATGTGTAAAAACTGTTTGCACAGAAGTGATTGACATTTCTGAAAAAAATTAAAAAGTATAAATGAGACAAGAAATTCAAGTGGAAAGTGGTGAGAGGCAGTCCTATGTGGCTCATTTACAAAGTTTGGTCAACCAACTAATGAGCAGATGTTAATAACTGAATGGCAAGGCTGCAAAGAAACAAAAAAATTAGCCTCTATCCATTTACTTGGGTACAATGGACTCATTTAAGTAAATTAGAGAAATAAAGAAATGACATACTGGGCTATAGTATTTCCACCTTCAACTTGCCTACAGTTCTTAAGTCATGAGAAATGTATCTTAATTCATCCTTACTTCTAAGAAATTATGAGTACAGGGAAAGCCCAAAGGCTTTAGATGAACTTGAGCATTTAGACATATCTGAACTTCTCATGAAAATTTATTTTCAGAAGTTTCTTAAGCGCTCTATGTTCAAAAAGAGAAGCCAAGCTACCCTGACAGCCTTAGAAACAAGCTGGGATGGTTTTTGAGGCTTTTTTGAATTTTAATCTGGAGAGCATTATGTGGATCTCTCTGTCACCTGAAAATACGTATCCAAAGTAGTCAGAGTGACTACAGAACCTTTCATTCACATATTAGATAAAAGTTCTAAAAAATTTTATTAAAATGTTCATAGAGAGGACTGTTCCCATAATGTATTAAAATACGGTCATTTTTGATTGTTGAAACGGAGTTTGTCCTCACTGATCCAGCGTATTTTTTTACGTGGGTGATCTGTCACTGAGTATACTCCTCAGAGCCAGTTATTATGTGATCAATTATTATGTAAAATTTCAATTGTTCAGAGATCGGAACTGAAAACATACCTGGCAGATATAACAAAAACAAAAAACTGAAAGACCTGGGATGTGTATTTGTGTCGTGTGATAGGCAGAGAGAAAGCATGGAAAGAACAGCAGATTGGGAAACACAGGATCTGTGTTCTGGCACTGGGTCTGCCTCTTACTACCTCCCTCAGATCATGGTTCTCCACGTGCAAAAGAGGGGTCAGAGCAGTGGTCTGCAAGGAAATGGGGAGACTCAAATGTGATAATGTGAGTGACTGTGCTCTGATGTAATACAGGGCTATATATAATCACATAATCATCAATATAATTTTATCTCTCAAAAAGAAAGATTTTTTAAACTTACAAAAAGATGACATCTTACCAAGGAGCCTAATAACTCTGAATATAGTATAAAAAACAAACACACACACACCCTGGTAGTCTGAGAATCAGGAAACTTAGGTCTTGCTTGGTTCAAGCGCTGACATAAATGTGCCTTGTGACATTTGCACAAGGTCTTTCCTCTTAGTTTTCCTGAATGTAAAACAGAGGGAATGTAGAATTTCTAAGGGATCTTCTAGGTCATGATTCTGTGACTCTTAAAAATACCATTTAAAAATTCTATTTGTCTTTCATCTGTAGAATGAAATATTATAAAATAATGCACGGTTTTATCTGATAATGCCTGTAAATTAGAGTGTCATGTAAATCGGAATTTCTGACCTGGAAGAGACATATTCTAAATGTCAAAGTGCATAGCAGGGTTAACGAATAAATATTGGGTTGGCCCAAAAGTTCATTCGGGTTTTTCTGTAAGACATTATGGAAACCCCTGAACTTTTTGGCCAACGCAATATTTTCCTGAAGGACATTCAGCAGGGATTCTCTGTGTGCACATGTGTGTAGGCATGCACCCAATGTGGGGACAGTGGCGGTGGGATGAGAGGGCACAGCAGACACCTGAGCTGTTCAAGGTTGTTACACTCATGTGATAGTTTGCTAGTGACGTGTGAATATGAAGTCAGGGCTTCAGATTATGTACAAACTCATCTGCAATGATAAAAATTGAGAAGTGCTTTGCAAAGGTTTTCGGTGTTTTTTTTTGAGGTTTTCTATTTATGTTATTAAGTAATATAGCAAGTATCAAAAAAATACAAAAACTTCCTAGAGATCTTTTAAAATAAATATTTCAAAACTTGCTCATCTACCTTAGGCATTTCTAAGACATATACAATGATAATGTTTTGGGTATTAGCTTTTTTTCTTTAATGCCTCGAAATAGGCATTTCATAATTTTTTTTAGTGTGGTATTATGAAGAGGGAAATGGATAAATTGTCCTTAAAAAAAAAAAACAAAAAAAACACAACTATTTATCACTGCAAATTATTTAGGAGGAAAAGCTGCTTACTGTGTCATAGACTCTGAGCCCGGTCTGAAATCCTGGGACTTGAATGACTGCTGTGAAAGAAGAACAAAGAGTAAATCACAAATCACAGAAGGCAACACAGGCAATATTCACACGCTGAAAACCCACCAACTAGATGAATGAGGAGAGAGCATGCCTGTTCTGAACACAAGTGTCTATCGGCATGTCTATCACAAGTGTCTATTCACGCCCATGGAAAACCAAGGAAACAGCTCTCCAGATTGGTTAAGCGCTCTTCATAAAGAAAGTGAGCTTTCAGGTGTGTGGCAAAAAGAGTCAGTTGTGAGTCAGCCTAAATTAATTCGGTAATACTATGTTATATTACTTAAGTTCTAAATTTACCTTTCAACACTGCATCTTTCCTTTGTAATCCTGTCAGTACACTGTATTTTCATGGTGTTACTCACTGAACTATGTGTAAAATTTTGAATCTGCAAGCTCTTTAAATCTTCTACAAAATTTGCTTAGTATGTCTGTTTTATTAATGGCACCTCCATAAGAAAATCAAATAAGCACTTTCAGCGGTGCCAGATTATACTCTGAGTGTTAGACGGTTCCTCTAGAGTTTGAACATTAATTCCAAATGAAAGGATACTGTGGAAAATGGTGGTTGATATGAGACAGTAGTTTAGAAATCAACTTAATCTTGCTATAAGACAGACTTGCAATTTTTTTTTTTTTACAGATAATTACATGTTATGGGAAGGATCTACTTAAAATTCACATAGAAAATATAAATCACTACTATGTTAAAGTTTTGAATTACATACAAATGAAAGAGATACACCATATCTACCTAATTAAAATTTTAAAACCCCAGAAAACAAAAAGCCAAAATGAACTGAAAGACAAGGAGTACAACTATCTCTTTCAGTCTTAACTTCTTTGAGTAACTACTGCTTTCCCAGTCTTATCTCTACTGAAACTTGTTTGCCTTTTTGGATTTCCTCCTTCACAATCAGATTTCAGCAAGATTTGGCACTAAGTCCCTTTAAACAAGTATTACTTTTCTTATCATAAAGATTTCAAGAGGATTTTGTACTTTTCTGGACCATAATTATGTAATATTATTGCCGGCTATAGACCTTTAAATCAAGCATGTAATGAAAACAACAGTTAAAGGGCAAGGAGACTTAGTGGCAAAACCTGAATGTGGTAGTAAGTGAGCCTATTTCAAAGAACAACAAAAGAACCAATCTCGGATTTTTCTCAACTATTTGAAGATGATCTGACTCAGTTAAAATGTGTTTGGGGAAAAAAGTACAAACACATAGAAAATTTAAATTCAAGGACTAATGCAGACTGCAGAATAGTCTACCTGCCCTCAAACCCATAGAGCAAAAGAAAACCATCAAAACCTCTCAGAGAGCATCAACTGTAACTGAATTTCTTCAGTTTTTTCCCCAGACTTATGAAATAAATTCCAAACACAGCCAACAGATTAAAGGTCAGATGCTTCTTTTACATGGTCTAAGTATTACTTCTCTCTCTTTGCCCAAGGCAAGAGCAACATCTTACCTTAAATACATGTATGTACAGTTGGCCCTCAGTATCCAAGGGGGATTGGTTCCAGGACACTCCCACCTGCACAGATACCAAAATCTGCAGATGCTAAAGTGCCTCATATAATGGTGTAGTATTTGTATATAACCTAACAACCTCTTGTATACTTTAAATCATCTCTAGATTACTTATAATACCTAATACGATGTAAACGCTATGCTAATAGTTGTAAATACAATGTAAATGCTATGTAAATAGTTGCCAGCATGGCAAATTCAAGCTCTGCTTTTTGAAACTTTCTGGAATTTTTTTTCCAAATAATTTCGATGCCTGTTTGGTTGACTCTTTAGATGTGTAGCCTGTGGATAAGGAAGGCCAACTGTATATGAAATGTAAAACTACTGGATTAAAAAAACCCAACATAATGGCTCTAATCAGAATATAAGTCTACTCCAGAGGTTGAGGGAAGGGAAGTCAGACTGAATTATACATCACTGTTACGTCAGCGTTACTTTTCCTTTCTTGTTGTGACCCTGACTAATGAGTAACAACATATTACTACGTGCAGGTCTTACCAAACCTGCTTCTAGTAGTCTCTTCATATGAAATGGGTGCTGTGATGTCTTAAGCAGGTTAAACATGGTTCCTGCCCTGTTTCCTACTGTATTACTGCATTACTGTAGCGGGCATATCCAAGTCCTTTTTCATGATGCAAAGGTTGGCTTAACCTATGTTCAAATGCTATGAATCACAAATTAGTAGGAGATCCACATTACAAAGTCTTGACACTGATTTATAAAAGGACACCACTTATTTCTTTAGGACCAATACTTCACTTCTCAACACCTTTACTCACTCATTCCTTGGTCTCAGCAGCAGCGCGCCATATGGGTATGGAGGCAGAAGGAGAGGGAAGAAGGAGGTGTCTCTGTGAGCTGTTTTGTTTCACTTTATCTTTAAACAAAAAAGCCCAAGGCTATGAGACAATCAGCCCATAAGCACCCTCACCCCCCATCAAGGCCAAGGAGTATGATTGCCCTTCTTGCCCTCTTGTCCCCACACACCTCTCAGCTGTTTTGTGAACTTCATTTCCTCTTCATGGATACCCTTGATTTGGAGAGGAGGGGATAGAGAGAGGAAGATGAGCAAAGCAAAGGAGTTGAATGAAAGGATCAGAATCCGGAGACTCTTGCTTCCCAAACCCTCACAACTTCATAGTGATATTTTTAAGTTTAGATGCAGTGAGACAAACGTGAAAGGAATGATTAATGGAATGATTTTCAGTGCCTCCAGTGATTACATGGAGATTTACCAAGAAGAAACAACTCATAAATAACTTTGGAAAAGAGAAATGGGCCATGCAAACAACTCCCCCAAATATTTCTATAAACTTGAAGCATGAATGTAAAATTAAGTAAATGTTCAATCTATGTTTGTTGCAGCAGCACACCAGCTTTAAATAAGGCAAATTTATGATATACTAGAACTCTATTTTTAAAGCTATTTATATACCTCCTGATATCTACCTTTTCCAAAGAATTAATATCTGCAATTGTTTTATATCCACTTTGTAGGAATTTTTATTTAAAAGAAAAAAACCCAACAACGAGGGCCGTCGGTTAAATTCTAATCCTGATTCTGCCATTAACTCTCTATGGCCTCAGTAAGCCACTTAACTTCTCTTGAGGTCTGTTTTTCTTACTTGAAAATGTACAGGAGGTGCTCAGAATAAAAGCATGAACTATCATAGCACCATTCTTATATTTTACAGATGAGGAAATGGAGGCCCAGAGTCAGCAAGATTACAGAAGTAGCCTGAAGGTTACAATCCTGTTTTTCAAACTGGTTTAAAAGCAAAACTAGTTTTCAATACAATTTTGTTTGAAAGCCTCACATACAAACACTGAAAAGTAGAATTTCTCTAGGTGAAGCTAGGTTTGGTGGTCTGGCAAACCTGGCCTCCCCAGACCTACCCCACAGAGCCCTGAGGAACAGGGCTCTACAGAGGAGAGAGTTTACAAACCACTCGACTAGATAAGCTCTTTCAGGTTTTCTCTGTTGCTAAAATTATGTTTCTGGGAGCATAATTTTATGACTTTAAATATTCATACAAGTTTGCTGTTGATTCTTTGATTTTAGAATTTATTGTTGATTATTTGAGTTGTATTTGACGCTAAATCCTCCAATTATGCTTTTCCTTAAGGACAAAATATTCCTCTGCATTAAGATGCAGTTTCTATAAGTATATTAAAACAAAAAGTAAAGGCCTTCATCTTGATTCATGATTTGTAGTTTGGGATACTAATTATGCCAATTAAAAACGACAACAACAATAAATACTTAACGGAAAGCCACTCTAGGGGCAAGGCACCGCGCTACGTGCCCTGGAGATACAAAGCTATAGGCTCCGAGAGCTTATACTCTAACAGGGGAAGGCATGGAGACAACCAACAAGGCAGAGGGAGATCCACATTATGATAAAGGAAAAAAATGTGCAGATATAAAGGAACAGAAGCCTTGAATTGCAACTGGAGGCTTTTGAGAAGGATTCTCAGAAGAGGGAGCATTTAGCTGTCTCCTAAGGGATAAACTGAATTTCTGATAGTTGGCGTAGCACAAAAACTATACAGCTGGAGAAAACAGGGTAAGCAGAGGTTTGAGGTTTTGCGTCTGCAGGGCAGCATACTCGGGAGGGTGATTTGGGAGATGAGGAAAAGTGGGTCAGAACTTCTGTTCAATCTCTGAGGGATGAGAGCTAGATTAAAACCTAAGAGATTTGGACTTCAAAGACAAATACAGCATCAGCTAAGATGTCTGAGCTGGTAAATCACAACTTGATTTCTATTTTAGGAAGGTACCTCTGGTAGGCAGGTAAACGGTGCAGTAAAGACTGGAGAATGGGAGCGTGGAGACCTCCACAGGTAGGGGCTGGGGGGCTGGTTCCAGCAATCTCCTTCCCAGGTTCCTCCCCCTCAGTGCACTCTTTAAAAAAGCTGGTGCTCCTTAATGTCTTCTACCCTTTAGTTCTGTACACTCCTCTGTTCCCATGGATTCGACAGGTATGTTTATGCTAAAGACTTCCAAATCAATACCCAGAGCCTGGATCTCCAGTTTTCTTCAAAATGATTTGGCAATCGTTAGTTTTCAGCAAATCTTGTAAATATGGTCGTTTTTCTGAACATACACTTGGAACCATCCATCTTCATCAGAACTACCTCGCAAGCCTGAGTTCTCAGCAAATCTCTCCCGAGCCCCCTGGCTGCTGCACAGGTGCTACACACAGCGCAACTTACGCTGAAGTGCCCTTCTGCTTTTACACACTGATGGTCACGTTAGAAACCTAGGTTGCTCCTTTTCCTTCACATGGATTTCCTCACCAAACCCTACTTTCGCATTATGGCTGGCTTGGATTGCTGCAACCGCCTCTCCTGGTCTTATTTCACTGCTTTTTTTTTTCCCCCCTTCTCAGAGCTTAGAGAATGAGCTTTTGAAACAACTGATTTGATCATGCCATCCTCCATGTTTTAAA